ATATAAAAAAATCTAGAATTTAAATCAGGTGACCTTAGAGGCCATCGTATGTATCCACCTATACCTTTCCAACGCCCAGGAAATGCACTGTCTTAGGCCCGTATCGTCAGTCGTCCCTACTATTGTAGGCCGCGTTTATGGCCTCCTTGATTGTCATACTTCTTTCTCTCCTAGAAAAATTTCTGGATTACACTTGTCCCGTGTCAGCGCCAGCGCTCTCCTATTGTGAAGATATGTTTTCTTTTTAAATTGTAGGAAATTTCAGGCTGATAAAACATGATATAACTCAAAAGCAAGCACAATTTGATGCAAATAGATGTTTGTGACATAACCTCAAAATAGAGCGCTGACACAGAGAAGTAGAAAACTATGACAATCAAGGAGGCCATAAAGGCGCCCTACAATTGTAGGGACGACTGACGATACGGGCCTAAGTAATGCCGTACATCCCGTGCAAAGTGGCATGGGGCACCATCGCATTGAAAATACATGCAGCTTCGAACGTCCAGAGGTACATCGTCTCGCAGCTCATGCAAACTGCTTTGTAGAAAAGCAAGGTATGACTGACCATTCAACTTGGCAGGCAATTCATGTGGTCCAATTAATTTTTTGTTGAGTACTCCAGCCCATAAATTAACGCCGAACTGACGTTGAAAGATGTGTCGGCGAATAGCGGGTGGATTTTCGACGCTCAATGAATGGAAATTGTGCATGTTAAATATTCCATTTCGGATAAAGTTGGATTCATCTGTCCAAAAGATGCTTTCGAAAAAAGTTTCATCCCCTTCGCACCTTGTCAACATATTCTCACAAAATTCAACCAGTTGTGCATAGTCGCTTGGAAGCAATTCTTGTACCTTTTGTACATGGTAGGGATGCATGTTCTCCGAAGGTAGTATTGTGTGCACTAAAGTATGAGATATGTTCCTGCTTCGGGCAATGGATCTGGTGCTTATAGAGGGATCTCTCAAGGCTGCTTGAATTATATCTTCTATTCCTTCTGGGCGTATCATCGGCGCTAGTAGATGACGATGAGTGCCTAGTGTGCGGCCCTCCATATACGCATTATGGACGCGTATAAAAACGCAGTAGTCGGGATATACTACCGGTTGTGGTCCACCTCTTCTGACCACATACTCCCGATACATGCGAGCAGCTGCTCGAGCGTTTCCTAGGGCAGCACCATAATAGTAATGCATTTCTGCATAATCTCGCGGAGGTCAAACTCATTTAGCTGATTTGGCTATTTGCGTAAAAAAATTTACATAATGTGGATACTCACAGTTTCACTCGCACTGCTAGGACGAATCTAACAGTACCTCATATGTCCAACTCCATCAAGTCGTTTCGACTGTAGCTCCTGAAATAGAATTTCTTATTTACATGTGCATCTGCGTCAAACATACAGATTTTTTAAGGTGAGACACATCGTAGCAGGCCGAAATTTTCAGGGTTTATTCTACAAGGAATGAAATAGTTTATACAATAAAATGAATAATGGAATACCACCAATTTTTTACCGCCCTCCAAAGTTGAGCGATTGAAGAGATTTTTCACAAAAAATGAATTTCAGAATTTTTGCGTTGATTTCTAATTAGCTCTGTTAAAAAGTGACATAACCATTGCTAAAACTAACCATTTAGCTCATCTCAAAAACCTAATGGTTTAGTTGTAATTGCGATTGAAAGTCATTATCCCGATTTTTAAGAAATTTCACAAAATTGCAAATATGTATTTCAGGAACTATAAAATTTCGCACCACACATATAGGGCTTCATTCGATAGGTTTTGAGGTTCTCTATCACGTGATTTCCGTTGATCCACTACTAACTTGACACCCTGTATCTGTTGTTCCTTGCATAATATTGTTAACAAAGAAGTACTGTAGAACCAACGGAATTCCGAATGCTTAATCAAAATAAGACAGTGCAAAGCGCACTTTGATATCAGAATCGACAATTGCGAGACTGTACAGCAGCTCTGTAAGGTTGTCAGTACGCGTTTGACACCGCAGTCACCACTGTGACCGCTAGAAGCTCACGCTTCTGGCGGTATAGCAGATATGGTCTGCTCGCCATTTAACAAACTAAACAGGCTGCTTTCGTCCGTCCGGCCACAGGCAGCCAACCATGGACAGCTGTTTCGTCCTTTCTGGCAACTCATCAGCATGTTCAGTTCAGTTCCAACCGAGAGCTACTATACACTCTCGCAGTGTCCGATTCTGACAATAGATGCCACCTTGTACTGTCTTATTTCGACGGATCTCATGCCTCATGCTATGCTTACATTCATTGTCCCAGACCCCAATCCTAGACCATGCTGATGAGTTGCCAAAAAGCACGAAACAGCTGTCCATGGTTGGAAACAACAGCATGTTCGAATGCTGAACCCGAAGAGTTACCTGCCTGAAATTGTAGTCGTTTGGTGGAATACCACAAAGGTTGATCAGACTTCTTGATTGAACCTCGTACAACAGAATTCTAATTGTATGACATTAACATTAAAAGTACGAGACACGACACGAAATTTGGAGATGAAAAGAATTTAGATGTAACGGACATTGTCGACTCCACAATGACAAAACGAACGAGTCGACTCAGGAAGAAATTCAGATCACTTTTACTGGGTTAATAGGTTAATCCGAAAAATATTTATTATGGTTTTTTTAATCAGTGGTATTCGCTCTCATTCCTGACATTGACCACGGATTCATTGAAGGTCAATGAAAGTAGAGAACCTGAGAAAAAACTTGTCTGATCGCCGAAACAAATTGCATTATACATTTTAGGCGTTAATAGCATAATAAGCTTCGTTAATAAGGATGATACGCCTTTATTAGACAAAAACGATTCTTTTGCGGGATAGTAATTGTCAAATAAATAAGCTTCAAATTCGGCTCTGGGTATTTGAATGTCATGAACAGAAAATGTGATTTTACTTCCCACGCCAATTGTGAAATAGCAAAAAACTTTGAAATCGTGATGTGTTGCATGATATGTTCATCGCGAAAAACCAAACCCATTTCCTTTTCCTTTGTTTTTACATCGCAACTGCTATAAGAAGCTTAAAAGCGCCTTGTTAATCCTATTTTTTAACTGCCTTAAGTTAGCGGAAGTGGGAGAAGCCCTCTCAGGCAGATTGTTCCTCAATCTCGGGCTTGGAGGAGCAAAGCCCGCTAACATAGCGGTAGAAGAGAGCCAGCTCGCCGACCGTCGCGTCATCGCCAATGGTGCTAAAGGGTCCCGAGACTGCCCTGTTGTCTATTATTTATTTGGTAGCTCTGCAACTCGGAAAGTACCACTGCGATTTTGATGGAATTCTTACAAAGGATTACTACCATACCAAGGTCGTGAAGACTTTCTGGGTTTTGTCAACCAGTCAAGTGGTGGTGGAGAAGTTATTAGAGAAGAACGGAAATTTTTAGAAGTTTCCGAACATTGTTTTTACGATATTTTTAGAGTATTTGATTTGGGCGCAGTCCAAAAAATATTTTTTTAAGAATAAGAATTATTTTTTTTTGGCATTCTTCAACTTCCAATCATCAATCAAATAAGACATTTGTCTCTGAAATTGTATACAGGATGTTTCATAAAATCGTGGCAATGTTTCTGGGGTAAAAAGTATATTACATATATTATAATTACGGGCCCTAAAATTCCTCGTTACCAAGATACAGGGTGTTAAAGTTCCAACTCAAAATCAAAAAAAAAATATTTTCAGTGTGTCGAGATATCTACTCAAAATTTTGTGTAGTTTTGAAATGGAAAGTATTTTCTACACCACTGACTTTTTTGGGACATTTTTAACAAGGCATTCGATTTTACACGAATCGCCTCTCTTGAGAAGCTTTTGTTTATGCTCCTCCTTTTAGAGAAAAATTAGGTTGACTGTTTGAGGTGAAATCCGAAAGCTTCAACCGATTCTACTCAGAAAATATGTTGATGTTAGTGAAGTTTGATATTGAAAACTCTATATAATGTGACTTATCGTAGCATTATTTGGTTAATATTGATGTTTCATCCTTACTCAGTCTCATCTGAGGCGTAGAAGTCTACAACACCCTGTCACTTGATAATGGGACATTTTAGGACCCAATTTATTATTTTTGAATCTACTTTCTCCTCTATAAATATTTTTCTGAATCTCCCCGACGTAGATATGTATATCAACAGGTGATAGTGAACTACTGAATAAATTGCCCCAAAGTTTGACACTTACCTATGTACGTTACTGAAAAATGGCGATCAGAAGGTTTTGAGACCTAGCAATCTGGGATAAAACGCCCCGCGTAATAATATGCAACAACTTTGGCACTGAAATAAAATGACAAGTGCATCTAGACCAGCGGTCGCCAACCCGTCGATCGCGAGCTACCGGTAGCTCGCAAAGGAAATTCTGGTGGCACACAACATATTTTAAAAAGGTTTAAGAATCATAAAAGCTTCCGTAAATTTTGTAAATTATAATAAATAGAAGCAGCGGCAACACTGCGGTGAGCGATCTGTTCGAGAACGATCTCGATTACTTTGAACGGAATAAGTGGTGATAGTTTAAAACTGAACGGCACAAAGTCCAGCGGTTGGGTTAGAGTTGGCCTGCAATTGTGAGTATTAGTAAGAAGATGAAGAAAGACGTTATTTAGTTCAACCGATTTGTGAGAATTTATTTTTCAAATATGAAGCTTATTAAAAAGAACTACCGTAATCGACTTACAAATGAACATTTGGATAATTGTATTCGAATGGCGGTATCAAAAGTTATACTCCAAACATTAAAAAATTGTCAATGAGTTTGGGTGTCAGGTTTCTCATTAAACACGCATTTTTTATCTGGACATGTTTTTGTTTAAAATAGTGCGTTGCTTTTTTATTTTTAGTTATGTAGTATGTATTACTTATTAGTTTATTTGAGTTTATTAGTATGTACGAGTATTAGTATTAGTTAAATAAACACATGTATGTCGCATACAACTGCGTATAATTTCATTTAAGTTGGCTTACGTTGCTTACGACTAGGCAGCTCACTGTTTAAACCAAAATTATCAAAGTAGCTCAACACAATAAAAAGGTTGGCGACCACTGAACTAGACGTTGGTCTGTGGCAAGTCTTCAACCATCAAAGACAAAAATCTAGCCCATCCTGTTTAAATCAGAATTCGTGATTGCCAACTATTCGCGTAAATCTCGACACAGTGAAAGCTGTACTGACTCTTTCAATAAAAAAGATAAGAAAACTAAAAATTTATTTTTTGTTTCAGATTCTAGTGCTCTGAGAGATGCTTCCTGTCCCAGAATTTGTAAAGAAAATGCTTACGGTGATCCAGTATGTGGCAGTGACGGTGTCATATATCCTAACATATGTGAAATGAGGAAGAAAACATGTGGCAAAGGTAAGAGCAAAAACTGAGTTGGGTGCATCATTTTTTTTTAATACCGATTGCCTACTCTTGCTGGTTTCTTAGTTTCTATGAAAAGGTTTTATTGGCTATTTAAGATTCACAAAATTATGATTTTTCTCATTGTTCTATGAGATTTAAATGTTTGTGTTAATGCGGAGACTAGCCCATTCGTAACGAACAAAACAAGTTCAATGTTTTCAAGATCGGTAGGTTTTCAAAACGCTAGTATGTAATTTAAATATATTTGCTATTTTCTATCCCAGCTTAGCAAAAATCAGGGAAACATGCATATCTTTACTTGCAGGAGTAACATTGACCGAAGATCACACTCTATGCCTGAGGTCATCAGGCTCCAAATGTGAACACCGATGTGGTAGCGAAAAAGACCCTGTATGTGGCACTGACGGACGAACATACCTCAACAGGTGTATGCTGCAAGTAGAAGTCTGCAGGTAAAGCCTTTTAAGCTTCCTCAATAAGCAAAAATTACAAATATCCACTCTTCGACCGGTCAAATTATACGCGCCAGTTCTGGCTGAACCTTCTTGAATCTATTTTTCAGGTTAGGAATAGACCTTTCCCACGTAGGTCCATGCAACAATATAAGCGCTCATAGAGAAAATTGTCCTGTAGATTGTGAACAAGCTCCAAGGGATGGACCAGTTTGCGGCAGTGATGGAAATGTATACAAAAGTACCTGCCATATGAAGCTGCTAACGTGTGGGTAAGCGAACCTGTCAATGTTTATCCAGCGCCATCAACTATAACCAATGGGGGGTGGATTTAGGAGAGTGTTGTGGGGGTCCGGATCCTCAAATATCTGAGTTTAAAGGAATTTCTAACGTGTCTTTAAATTCGCAGACGAATCTCGTCCGCTGTCTTCAATATCTACCTCTAACAACAATGCCTCAGCCCATGGAGTATCTTACCTCTTAAAGGTTTGTTTCGACCAGCACAGCGGAGATCTGATCTGCAAGCCATGTTATACAATCAGAGATGATAACGATATACATACATTATGTCTTGTAGTCGGTGCTTCACCCAAAATCGTGTCGAGTCCTAGGTCATAATGTCGTCAGTCATAGTCAAAAAAATATCCTAGCAACCTTTGATTTTAGTTTCATGTATTTGAAGTTAGACCACGCATTTCTCCAACACGGCTTAAGGCAATCCTCCATTCGTTTATTCAAGCGTTAGTTATCAATAAATGAAATAATTCTCACCTTTCAATAAAAAAGTCGAAGTAAATTCAAAACAAGAACAATTATAATATATTTAATTATATAATATAAATGTTAATGGGCAAATAAGTACTGAGTACTGAGTGAAAATTCCACCAGTTAATAAAAATGTACCAATTATTGACAATAACTCAGGTAACTTAACTTGGGAGTCCGTTCTGGAAATCCTGAGGTGACTTTAAACGCGACTCTCGCCCTTCTGTAACTACAGTACGCTGTGTTGTTCATCTAGGCCTTGACAGGATGGCATATCCCGTCGCCCGACCTCAAATGGGGTATAGCTCAAATAGATCACGAACTCAATTAATAGCCCCTTGGCTAGAAAACGAGATCCTAGTTAAGATCGCCTCATGTACAATATAAAGGTATATCCCCGAAAACAAATATAATTACCCTCGTTTAGCTTCCTGCTATGTGCTAACCTTTGTCATTCAGGGTGAGCACGTGTGCACAGTTCGCGACACTACAAAGAAAACTGGGATCTAGATGCCCATGCACTCTCTTACGCGGATGCTGTTACGTCGAGCAGTGTGGATTGCTCAATTGGAGTCGAGCTGAGTTAGGGATTTTTAAAATAACATGGAAATCTTCCGATCTCGTGTCACCATTATACCTTTTGTCAGATTTTGTAGCCTGTTCTTCACCAACTCAAAGCGTAACATTCTGGAACTTCTTTTTCACCTTCTTTTCCAGGCAGGGTGTAGTAAGAACCAACAAGAAATACTGTCAAACCACCAGACATTGCCGAGAATCTTGCTGGAGGAACGCAAAGCCAGCATGTGGTTCAGACGGAAAAGTATACGCCAACGTTTGTAGAATGAAGTCCAAAAACTGTGGGTAAGTGTACCTTCAAATAATGTTTTTGAGAGTCAGAGACCTACAAATGGTATCACAAATTCTAACTATATACAAGCTTTTGCTTTTTTTATCATCCATTTGATCAACTTAGGGCGAACGTACGCGTTCGTGATTTGAAATAGGCTAGGAATATTAGACTTTTTCTAAAAAAAAGCGGTTTTAGTAGAGAAAGTCTAATACTCCTGGACTGCTCTGAATCGTAATGGCGAATATCTGCGGTTACCCTGAGAATATATTTCTCTATTGTAGAAAGCATGTGTTCGAAGTTCCAATGGCCTACTGTGCTAGTCAAGAAAGAACATCGCACGGAAGTACCTGTCCAACAGGATGTAAAAGTGAACCTGAGAAGCCCACTTGTGGATCTGACGGATATATCTACAGAAGCGAGTGCGAACTGAAACTGTTGAACTGTGGGTAAGGAAGCGTTTATTTCCACATCTACCTTTATTTATTTATATTGTCAACTAGAACGTACCAAAGTTGAACACCTTTTCTATGACTACACTACTCCGTCATTTTCCTTTTTCTACTCCCTCCTTTACTGCTTGTATTACTCAAAAACATAAACTGCTCTGGCAACAAATAAAAGTAAAAAGTCTACTTGGCCTTCAGTTTTTCTAAACATTAAAGCTGTATATTTTACAGACATCTGCGAGTAAGCTCTGAGCTGCCGTGTCACAAGGAATAATATTTGATCGCTACACAGAAGTATGGGCTCTGAGTCCTCGCTAATACATGTTTTATTCATTTTAGATCTAACAGAAGAGTGTCGAAGGTAGATTACGATAAATGCAGAAACCGACTAGCTAAATGTTTGAAAATCAAATGCAGCAACGATCCAGATCCAGTTTGTGGAACAGATGCCAGAACGTACACTAATCAGTGCCAGCTGAATTTAGCCACGTGTTTGAAAGGGGTATGAGCTCAATGCATTATTGTTTAAGCCTAGTCACAAAAAAATATGTAAGTTCCTAAGTTATGACTTTGCTTAGCCCTCTGATCTGTCACAGTTTTCTAATTCCTGAGTAGTCGATTCTTGATGAATCCGACTTCACTTCTGTAAATAAAATTCCCATTTACGTGACTATAATCATTTGATTGTTACAGAGCAATACTTTAGAACACCTTTTCACAAACGAGGCCTACGTACGTTTTATTATTATGCAAAAAAACTTGACTCCTATTGTTTATATGTACAAACTCTGATATCCCACGAAAGTAGTTCTTGATGCATTTCATCATGATGGGTAGCAGCGTGCTTCATTACTATTGATTTGTGATACATTATGATCATGTAGTGATACTGGAATACTTACTTTCAGGTACAATTCGCACATGTAGGAAACTGTACTAAGCTAAAAGAACAAGAACCATGTCCAACGGACTGTGATAATGAAACTGGAGATCAACCAGTGTGTGGTTCAGATGGCAATGTATACAAGTAAGTATTTTGAGTAATCTTGAGATACTATTCTTCTGGTTACCATTATGTCATAAAATATTAGCTGTATGTTTGCATCATGAAGCAAAAAAGCTTCGTGAGTTATATTTTCACCATATCGACAATCTAATCATGCTATAAATACAGGGTGGTCCATTCTTGTGTGGACGGAATATTACTCATAAACGAATACATGTTGGTAAAATCTATTTATGAGATGATATTCATGACATTTGAGGGCACATTTATAAAATATTGGCCATTATACAGGGTGTCCCAATTTCGACCTACATATCAAAGTTGTGTTTTTTAAAATAGAATGCGTCAAATTTTATTGCATGTTTGGATTAACCAATCCAAAAGAAGAAAATTGATATAACATACTATGGGGTTTTGGTAATTAGCTACTGAGATATAAGGTGTTTTGTCTAGGAAAACCCCCATTTGGCAACTCCTCAGTCCGCCATTTTGAAATTTGGAGTGCTGAATCTTGCATCAAAAAAAAACTTACACACCTCAGTTTTTATCTTAATTATTTCTTTTTCGAATTTTAATTTTTGTTCATACAGGGTGGTCAAAAACGCAAATTGTAGTTTTTCTCAAACATTTCAAATGCATCACCCTGTACATTTGTGCAAGTTTGTATTCAATCTCTAATAAGCTTTTTTCTTTGATACTAGACACATAAGAGTTTTTACTGCTATTTTTTCGGTTATTTGCACGTCTTTTATGGAACGGCTTAATTCCCTAAAATATTGCATCATCCTTGGAAACAAATAAATTGTTGATTAGTTACAAACTGTCAAAATTAGCTTTGTGAGCATTATAATAAAAATAAAGTGAGTGAATAACTGCTTTCCTGGATAAGGTTCTTTTTAGCGATGAGGCTACTTTTAACAGTATAGGTGTTGTCAACAGGCATACCATGCACTATTATGCGATGGAAAACCCTTACTGGGTTAGGCAAATAGAATTCCAAAATAAACGGAGCTTGAATGTTTGAGGAGGAGTTATTGGCAGAAAAGTTATCGGGCCTTTCTTTTTCAACAACGGGTTAACAGGTACAGAATACTTGAATTTTTTGATCGAGCAGTTGCCTTTGCTTTTGGAGGATGTCATCCTGCAAACTCGGATGCATATGTACTTCCAACACGACGTCGCACTTGCGCTTTATCATAATCGTGTGCGTAACTATTTGGACACCTGGAGTAATAATCGTTGGCCTCCTAGGTCACGAGATATGACACCTATGGACTTCTTTCTATGGGGCTACGTTAAGCAAGAGGTTAATAGATATTCACCGTCTACCCCGGAAAATGTGAATGAAAGGATTAAGGATGCTTTTCTGAACATAAAGGAACACAGGCTGAGGGATGTGCAACGGTCATCCAAAGACTACGGCTGTGTATTCAACAGGGTGGATATATTTTCGGGCAGCTTTTGTAGATTAGGTATTGAGCAGTGATAGTTGTTTGTTTATTTTGCTGTTATAGTTGTTTTTCTAGATTACGCTTGAAGCTAATTTATACTGTTCTGATTGTTATAAGTTTTTACGTCAAATATGTACTCTTAGTGGCAATATGGAACTAGCCCACTGTTTGTCTTTTGTTCCCATAGATGATGTGATTTTTTTCCTCAATTTTGGTGTTTTGTTCTATTGAAAGCTTAATAACTCTAAATTTCGTGATTTTATCAGCATCAAATCTTATATCAAAAAAAAGCTTATAAAAACTTGAATCCAAACTTGCACAAATATGCATTTGAAATTTTTGAGAAAAAGTACAATTCGCGTTTTTTACCACCCTGTTTGAGCAAAAATGAAAACTCGAAAAGGTAACAAATAGGATGAAAGCGGAGGTGTGTAAGTTCTTTTTGATACAAAATTCAGCACGCCAAATTTCAAAATGGCGGATTGAGGAGTTGCCAAATGGGACGGTTTTTCTGGACGAAACATCTTAGATCTCAGTAGCTAATTACCAAAACCCCATAGTATGTTATATCAATATTATTCTTTTGAATTGGTTTATGGAAATATGGAATAAAATTTCAAGCGTTCTATTTAAAAAATGACAACTTTGTTATGGAGGTCAAAATTGGTACACACTGTATAATTCCCAATATTTTGAAAATGTGCCCTCAATATGTATGTATAACATGCCATAAATAGATTTTTCCAAAATTTGTTTATGAGTAATATGCCGTCCACTCATGGATGGGCCACCCTATACAGGGTTATCCAAATTAAGTGTCCACCATTAGTAACTTTGTTATTAGTGAAAATACAAAGTTGTTTGAATTAGCAAACTAGTAGCATTTTTAACGCTGGTAAAAATGAGAAATAAAAAAAAAACAATTGAGAGTCGTTATTTTGATTTTTTTCAGTAAAATAACATTTTTTTAAATGGAAACCCCTGTATATTATATTTTTTTCTGTTAAAGCATCAAATTTTAAACAAAAAAGCTTACAATAACTTTTCTCCTAGGTTACAAATTGTTGAAGTTATGGCCTCCAATCTGGAACAATTAAATTGTATCGACAAACTTTATTTTCAACATCAACTTATAATCTTACAAAATACAATAACAATTTTTTTTAAAGAAGATGCTCGAAAACACCACCTTGTTCTTCAATACATTTTTGGGCACGTTTTTCAACTGCTCGAACTGTCTTAAGTATGGTCCTACCATCTATCTGGGTTATCTTTTCCCTAACTGCAGTCTTTAACGCGTCAAGGTTATCGTACCTTCGCTTGTAAATTTGGTTCTTTAAGTAACCCCACAAGAAGTAATCAAGTGGGTTTAGATCTGGTGATCTGGGAGGCCACTGTATTGGGCCATTTGTTCCTATCCACTGATCATTAAAAGTAGTACTTAGAAAATGATAAGTACCTCTGGAGTTGTGGGCAGGTGCGCCATCTTGCTGAAAATGCAGATGATGTCTACTTATAAGATCCAATTCGTCTAAGAAATTAGTCAGAATTTCTGACATAAATTCCACATATCTTTCACCAGTTAGGGTTCCCTCCTAAAAGAACGGGCCAACAATTTTTGAACCAATTATACCGCACCAAACGTTGAAACTGAAACGGACTTGTGGGCCTCTTGGATGTACTAACAAAAGATTTTCTCTTGACCAATAATGGTGGTTTTTTCTATTAAACATTCCAGAATTTGAAAAATTTGATTCATCTGTCCATAAAAGGTAACGAAAGTTATTTACATTTTGGCGACAGAAGCTAAGATACCAATGGCAAAAAACAAGTCTTCTCTCTGGATCCCCTGCCAAAAGCGTTTGAACTGGTCGGTACTTATACGGAATAAATTTGTATTTTTTTAAAATCCTTTGAACAGTACCATAACTGAAATTAGAGTCCTTGAGAATATCTGCTATTGAATTCTCACGATAAGCTTCAAAATATCCAATAACTGCAATTTCCGTGGCCTCGCTTATTATGAATTCTTTTTTTGCCCTTGTTTTAGCAAAAACATTTTCGTTGCCCCTAAATTTTCGATAAAGTCTCAGAAAATATCGTTCATACGGTTGAATGCGAGCGGGATATAATTCACTGTAGTATTCTCTTGCTCTCAAGGAGGATTTTCTGTACACTAAATAGCATTCTAACATATCACACTTTTCTTCATGGGAGAACATTTTTCTTTAAATTAATGACACAATAAAGCTTATAAACAAGTATTTACACTAATGTTTGACATTATTTGATTTTATCATTGTTTTCCAAAGCCTTCTAGTTGCGAGTATGTCCAGTTTAACAATTTGTCGCTTATCTTAATGCTGTCAAATCGCGAACGCCATGTTGTTTTCATAGCCGTCTTAATATTATAATACTGCAAATAATTAAAAATATTTATCGTTATTTTGACTTTATTTTTGACTTTAGCGGACAAGTCATTATGAACTTTTTTGTTTAAAATTTGATGCTTTAACAGAAAAAAATATAATATATAGGGGTTTCCATTTAAAAAAATGTTATTTTACTGAAAAAAATCAAAATAACGACTCTGAATTGTTTTTTTTTTCTCATTTTTACCAGCGTTAAAAATGCTACTAGTTTGCTAATTTAAACAACTTTGTATTTTTACTAATAACAAAGTTACCAATGGTGGACACTTAATTTGGATAACCCTGTATAGCAATAACTTGACCTAGTTGTTGACAAAGATTTCATTTATTTATATATTATTTATTTATTCAAGAAGCATCTGATTGGAAATGCACATACAAAAAGGACCACTTTTAACAAATATGCATCTGGTGGCCTCCCCTTTCCTCCATATCTCTCGCACTTACGCAGAATAAACATTGGGAGCGCACTAGATTAACAATTAGACACATTGAAATTGTCATTGCACTTCCTACGCAAGGCTGTTATAAATTATTCATAGTGTATCATCATCATACTGTTGCTGATATAATGAATTCTTTTGAATTATTTTATTATTTTATTCAACATCATGTTAACTACATCAAGCATTCCCGATAAATGGATAAATGAAGAGAAATCAGAGTGGGCCCCATTTACAAATCAGGTGACAGACGTTCAAATATAAATTAACGATGGATCTCAACCATCAATAATTCTGCTAAACTGTTATAAATGATTCTATATAACCACATTTTCTCTCTACTCGCAATCATATATCTGAATGTCAACATAGTTAGCGATTTTTTACTCAACTAGCCTCAAATATTTTAGATCGTCAGCGGCAGTTAGGCGAGTGTACACGGATTTTTCAAAGACATTTGATAAATTTGACCATATTAACCTGCTTGCCAAATTGAATTTGTTTGGTTTCACAGTCTACACGATATCTTTATTAAAGTGCTATTACACAATCGTCAGTTATTCTCATCCTACGATAGCTTTGAGTCTTTTCGCTTCAGGGCTCGAATTTGGGACCGTTGCTTTTATTACGCTTTGTTAAAGCTATAAGTAGTAATACTAATTGTAAAATATTAATATTTGCCGATAACTTAAAATCTCTTTGAAGTCAACAGCATCACTGATTGAGAGCATTTAAAGTGTCAAGCATCGAAGTTGGAAGATTAACGACATTTGACAATAGGAGTTTTGAATATCACATTGCCCAAATTGTAAATAGTGCTATAATAGTTTTAGGTTTTATTGTTAGAAACTGATTAATAAGGATTTGGCTCCTTATTATAACTGTTATATAAATCAAATCAAATCGGTCATGTTCGAAGAAAAGATTTCTTAAGTATCTGGTTTTCAAGAATGATTCAGACTATCATCATCGTGGGTCGGACTACAAGTACTGGTTACCACGTAAAGTCATAGAAGAAAACATAATTCCGTCATCTTCTTAGCTACAATTTTACATAGTATTGTAGATTCTTCCGAACTGTTATCCAAGCTAAAATTTTAGTTCCAAGGGCGTGCAAACGCCAATGTATCTTTATCATTTCCTGTAACAGTCATATGCACATTAATGTTTATTCTCTTGAATTTGAACAATTGAAACGAAATTAGTATTGTTTTTATAGTTATGCCAGATCTCGATTATTTGTTCTGCAAATGCAATTATGAAAATTCTGTTGGCAACAAATACTATTACTATTAGTATTATTATTATTACAAATGATTATAGTCGGTACGAACATATATAAATGAGAAATTGAATGGATCGTGTCAAAGTGGCTCATACAATTAGTAGTATATATAGATTTGACAATATTGCAACGTGGTAACTCTCCGTCGCAGTTATCCGTTAACAAACAGACGGACGTACGCTCGTTGAGTTGTCCCACACGCGTCTATCGAAAATATATCTCCTTAATAAAAGTTTTAAGGACAAATGTACGAGGAGATCTAAGATGTATCAAATAATATTAGATGCGTGGAATTACCGATATTGGAAACGTATAAATTGCTATATTAAAAAAATGACATATGCTCCCCCCCCACCCTCTAAAGCCCCCAATATCCAATTAGCCCCAGCAATCCTCTGAATCGTCAAACAACGAAGTTTCGGTGATTTTTTTCGTGATTTACATGTCATATAACATTTAAAAAACATAATATATCATTTTCGAAATTTTTCGCGATTACAATACTCCCTCGCCAGTGGTATAGGAATGAAAAATCGAAAAAAAGCATTTTTTGAATTTGTTGAAAAAAATTTTGTACAATTTTTTATGCAATTTTGGGATTAGCAATATGCAGGTTTGTTAAACGAAGTCCTTTGTGGATATGATTATGCAAAAAAACGGAATTAATATTTATTTCGGATAGATGCAGATATACCGCCTGGACTAGTTACCCTGAGCATTAAAACTATTATTTTTTGACAGATCAAACTGCCATTTAAAAAAAGAAACCTGTGGACAACTAGTGATTCAAGTACCATTACATCACTGCAGAACAACCGCACTGTGTCAACAAGATTGTGCAGAAGACAGAAACTTTGTCTGTGGTTCTGACAACAAAATTTACAAGAATGAGTGTGAGATGAAAAGGACGAACTGTGGGTAAGTATATTTAATTATTATCAGGGTAAAGGATCATGAACACCGAGTTAACAAAATGCGAAACGACTGAGCGGAAAAACGAGAGAAGTTCGAGGTCTGTCAAATAAGTGATAAGACTGGCAGCGTAGCGTTAGATCTGGCACCACTGGAGGCGCCGGACTTGACAGGAAGAGAACATGTGATTCACCTTCATCATTCTCTCGAGTCCGTAGCGGTTTTTTTTTGTGGAACAGTTTTTTGTTCTTCTGTGTTTTGAAAATGGGTTACATCAATTTCGAGCAACGGTGTGCTATCAGGTTTTGCTTCAAACTTGGGCACAGTGCAACGGAAAGTGTTACTAAACAGGCCTACAGAGATAGTGCTTTGTCAAGAGCCCAGGTTTTTCGATCGCTTAAGGCATTTTAAGAAGGGAGAGAGTCGATTGAAGATGAACCACGAAGCGGGAGGTTTTCATCTTCAATAACGGGGATCGGGGCGGAGTTAAATTTGACTCCCACTTCCGTTCGTCAGATTAAGAATAACTGGGTGGTGTATCACGATAATGCTCCTTGTCACGCATCAATGTTAATAAACGAATTTTTGGCCAATAGAAACTTTCCTAAAGTTGAAAAATCACCTCAAGGGAATTCATTTTGGGACAGCTGAAAGCATTCAAACGGCTGTAACCGACCAGCTGATTGTTACTCCAGAATTGGTGTACCAGCACTGCTATGAGTAGTGGAAGAACCTTCTCCGGCACTGTGCGGCATTAGAAGGAAGTCATTTTGAGGGTGACAATATGAAATTGTAATTATATTTGTATAAAAAATTTAAAAAGATCAATCTCAGCCTAATAAAAATGAAATAAAATTTGGACTAATAATAAGCAATTTAATAGGTAAAACAGATATTACTATCAATAAAATAAATCGATTTAAATAAAAATGAAATAAAATTTGGACTAATAATAAGCAATTTAATAGGTAAAACAGATATTACTATCAGTAAAATAAATCGATTTAAATATATATCTTCTGATATATATTCTTCTCTATAAAATATAATTATAGATGAAATAAATAAGACAAATCCCAAAAATAAAAAGTTATTCAACCTTGCAAAATAATTAAAATAATGAAACTAGAATTTAAATTAGATATTTCATATTCAATCAAAATGGTATATAGTAGATACTATAAAATTAATACCAAAAATAAGATTTGAAATCCAAAGATTAAAAAATATAAAAGTTTTAATTATTTTTTTATTTAAAGTAAAAGTTACATCTTTGATATCACAAATCAGTATCTTGAATTAAACTATTTAAATAAATAAATAAAAAATATAATTCCTCTTTCAAAATAATAAATTGAAAGGAAATCAATGTAAAAATAATAATAAATATTCTCTACATAAACCTTGATATAATATAGAAAATGAACCAGATTATAATGTTCCATGTTGCGGATAAGAAATAAAAGTAAAGAATAGGCTGCTCTAAAAAAAGATAAGAATAATAAAAAATATACTCAATGAAATAAATGAAATTAACCTATTTATTAATATAATTTCCACTAACAAATTTAAAGAAGGAGGTGCTGCTATTTTAGAAGAACATAATAAAAATCATTAAAAGGATAAATTAGGTATAATATTCAATAAATCTTCATTTAAATATAAGCATCGACTTATCATGCGTTCATAAGTAATATTTGCCAAACAAAATAGCTCAAATTAACATAGCCCATAAGCTATGCAATATTATAACTAATGGACCCCAAAATCCTCAAATATTGAATGTTATAATTCCTGCCAAAACTAATCCTATATGAGCAACAGAAGAATAATATATAATTTACACATTCTATGTTGTTATTGTTCTTATATAATGCAGTAAATAAATGTCTACTACTACTACTTAAATTACAGACCTGGTAGAAAGAAGTATTCAGTGAGTGTCAAAATATCTTAGTCCCTCCGCCCCTGGTTCGATTCATGCTAAACAATGTTAGGCGTTATTTGAACTGAATATCTGAAAATACTGTGTTAATAATAAATCAGATTGTTGATAGCGATTTTTCGTCTCGTCCTTCGTTATTTGAGCGGTCTGCAGGACCTTGGCTCTTGTCTGGCGATTTGTTAACGAATTTTTGAGGTTTTTGTGATCTGGTTGCCACTACGAGCAGACCGTCAAAGCGACAGACCGACAGACTGTCAGATCGACTGGAATCAGTGACATCGTTTTTCGTGTTCGTGTCATTAAAAATAAAAAGAAACAATACTTTTTCGAAATTTCTCGCCAGTGGTGCAGGAAGTATAAGTGAGCAAAAGAATGAGTATTTTTAAAAAATACCTAAAAAATGATTTGTTTACTCTCTGAAAATTAGAAAGCAGGTGGCGGGAATTTATTTCCCTCGATACACCAAATATCGATTATTAGATTTATTAGAACACCCGGGGATCTAGGGGCACCTTACTGTATTGTGAAATGAATAATAATAAAAAAGACAAGCCGAAAAAAATGAGTAAAAATGAGTCCCCGGACATCCTGCTGAGCACCGTCAAAACTATTTGCTGGATATGCCAGCGATTTGTTTTTTGTCAGCTACAGCTGAATTTTGTTTCAGAAAACACATCTACGTGGTACCAATGAAAAGATGTATAGCAGGATTCCAGTTCAAAGGTTGCGCAAAGTTCTGCCCAACATACTACGATCCTGTATGTGGGACTGACAATATGACGTATAGCAACTCCTGCTTCTTAGAGATGGAGAGCTGTAGAAGCAGATCATTGGTAGCTTTGAAGCACATGGGCACATGTGCGGAACCAGTCAATGAGATTCCTAAGAACTACTTGTATTAGGACATCTACTAATAGGAGTTGAATGAAATATTTTAGGGAAAGCGTTAGATTCTCTTCAAAACTGCCCTGTATATATTTTCATTGGTTGTCAGCAGAAGGTTGTAGCTGATGATTTGATTAAAAAATGGGAGCTAAACTACTTGCCGGTTAGGAAGAAATACATGATGAACGCAACAAATATAACTATCAATGACTGTCTTCACTTTCTACAGGGTTACTAGTAATTGGCCATATTACATCCAGGGGGTGATAGGGGACTCAAAATGCAACAAATTTTACTATATAAATGAATGGACAAAATTCAGTAGATCTCTAAGTTTTTCAATTTCTGTGATTTTTTTGCTATCACCCGAAATTCTATTGGTTTTTGGCAATAAAATGAAATGCTGAACGAAAAATATAATTGTTCGCTTTCAGCTTTCCCTAACGCAAAATTGTGTATAGCTGTAAACACTGGTAGTACATGGAGCGTAGACATAGAAAAACTTGCGCTTTCAGAAAAGGCATAGAGTACCAACGTGAAAGCTTTTAGTTCCTGACAAACGGCCAATCAAACCAATTTAGGTCGGATAACAGTCCATAATCTAAATGATATCGTTCGTAAGTAATTGATTTATAAAAAATCGTGCCCAGGGGGAGCTTCTGAGTTACGAATACGGATCTGCATCCACTTTGAAGTTCCTGTTATTGTTACTTTTGTGATTACGGGGGACATCAGTTGTTTTGCTTTATTTACTATGAGCTGCTAGAGGAATTGTTCAAGTATAACGCATTTCCTGAAGCCTGAGCAGTTTCTGTGTTATGTATTTTCGACATGTACCTCCTTAGTAACCCCTAAAAAGGTGGAAAACTCAACGATCGGGAAAGCGATGTCAATAATCTCGTTGTGCCTCAACAGCGACTCTACAAAACCCTAAAAGACGCTATCACCATATTCGAATCATTGAACATTACGGAATTTCCTGCATCTAAGGAGCTATTGAGATGCTACATATCGTGAACATGTGACATGGAAAGTTGTTAGACTTCTGAGAGATAGTTATACTAGATCGATTTTTTTAGCTAATAGCAAATGAGGCGAAATATCTCGAGACCCCTTTCACCAAAAGGTGACAATACCAGGAGTATAAAGTAAAGCAGGGGAAAGAGCCTCATATTAAGCAGAATCTTTGAAAAATTGCTACACTCGTTTGGAAAATATCAATGAGGTGATTGACTGTTGTTTGACCTAAATCTGTTTGTTTGACAGTTTGTTAGGAATTAAACGCGTTCATACTGATATTCAATACTTTTTTGGAAAACTGCTTATAACGGCCAGCGTTCTTAGTAATTTGTATGCTCAATGTACTATCGATGTTTAGAACCAGACACAGTTCTGGTCTACGAAAAGATGAAAACGAAAGTTCTTTTATTTTTTGGAATTGGTGTTATCTTAATGTGTATAGTATTTTTGAATTTTTTATGGTTGTATTAGCCTAATTCAAATATGAACGACAAAAATTGATCGAATTCACACGCATCTATTATATGTTTTTTTTATTATTTAGACTCGGCTGATTGTTAAGAAATCACAAGAATTTCGAAAACCATTGATTTTTGACCATACGGGGAAATGAATTGAATTTTATATCTCTGACCATGCCCTGGAGGGCAAATTACCAGTAACCCTGCACAAAATACATTCAATAATTCAGCATCAATACTTTGTTGGAATGATGATCATTGATGTATGTGTAGTAAAGTAAAGGTAAGTTAATGAAGTTCGTTGTTGATTGCCGAATTTACAGTAGTACTAGTATTAATATTTATTCAATTTGTCAAACATAAACATATAAATGAGTCTGAGATCTGAGTATTAAATCACGTAGTAAAAATGTATATGTAGTAAAACTACTTGTACCCAAGAGAATCAGCCAAGTATACGAAATAGTGTCTTTATAATATACAACGTAAGAGATACATTTTTTATGACAATACGTATATCATACAGTAAAAAATGCCATTTTCCTATATATACACCAGTTGGAACTGAGATATTCAAATAAAGTTAGAGTTAATTCTTGCTCACCCTTAAGGTCAAATACGTATTATAATACTTGCCCTATTTTGGAAGCATTAGCAGTTCTACTAGATCAGTAGTTCTGATGGTATTTGACCGCAACCAAAATTATTCGAAATGGTGAGTTGGTGAATTGTCAATTTTGAGATGATCATCCGTCATATTACACATAAAAAGATATCTTTTTCAAAAAGTCTGGTAATCTCTCAATTTAACCGCGAGAAATTTCCTTTGGGTACATAAAATATGGTAGATGTAGTCATAGATGTATTATTCATCTAAACATGTTTTTTATCTTTCATAATACTGTGCCAATGTAAGCAAATCAATCTTTTTGTTTTTATATTCGCTGAGAGTATAAATGTTAGAAATCTGAGTGATTTTTTACGTTTCTTTTCTATCAATGATACAGATGCGCTGTGTTTTATCATTAAGTATTACTATTAAACGTAAGCGGTGAAAATTGTCTATGTATGTTAAATTATGTTATTTATTTATATGAATAAAGATATTTTTAGTTATTGAGTAGTTTGGCATTTTATTCCATCCCATAAGAAGAATGTGAATCGGCCTGTAAATTTTCGAATGCATGGTCAAGTCGAAAACCAATAACTGTGATTAATAATGCTGAAAATCAGAGAATTAGTACTTGATTAAAGCGGTTTATTGACACATACGTAATTTTTTTTTAAAACAAACTGAGGCTTTAAAAACAAAATCGAATGAGATATCTTACAACATAATAATAATAATAATAATAATAATAATAATAATAATAATAATAATAATAATAATAATAACTGCAAACTGTGGCCATATTCGGTACATCTCATTAGAAACGTCATAACGTAACGTTTAGCCTAAGGGGTAAGACATACCCCCGGTTTTACGAAGAGCTGAGAAAAAAATAAAAATAATAAATGGCTTTATTTTACCTGGTGGGTTACATGAGCAAAAACTGTTTTCAAAACCAACCAATGCTAAAAAAATACAAGTACGTGCAAATAAAAAAAATACAAAGAGGATAAGAGATTTAAAGCAGAAAAAATTTTTTTTCGTAGCCTATGTATGGAATGATGACCTAAAGACAAACGTGCATCAACAGACTGCGTAGCAGAATAAAAATCCATGCGTACAAATAACTTGAAAAAATATTATATGGCGAAAGATATAAAAATTGCAAAACATGCACAAATAAACAAATTTAAAAATAAAATTACATAAAAATACATGTTACATGTCATCAAAGGCAAAGAGCTTAATTTTTCTTTTAAAGCTGGACACAGATAGACTTTTCAAACCTTGAGGTACTTTATTGAAGGAATTGGGTGCCACATGAAAAGCTCTTTCTTAATTGGGTTGTTCGATGCCGAGGAAAGTCAAGAGTATATCCTACAAAACGCAGATTCGCTGTGTGATGATCACATCTCATGGTAAGCTTGTTCTCCAAATAAATATGCATTTTATTCATCAAAATACTGTGAATCAAAGATAATAGATGCAGTATCCACCTTTGTCGCATAGTAAGCCAGTGAATATTTTTTATATGATCAGATACACCCATCCCCGCCTTTGAATACCTAAACTAAATCTTATGGAGCTGTTTTGTACTTTTTTCAGTCTGTATGCTTGGCTCTGTATTAGACGTATGGACCATAGACATTCTTATAGCTATAAATTGATTTCAACGTAGCATAGGAACCCTGAACAGCTTTGGTAACATCATCATGGAAGCGCAGGTTCTCATCAAATGTGATTCCTAAGTTGCGAACCGATATCTTGTGGCAAAGTTCATCACCTCCAATACACAGCTTTATTGATTCACTATTGAATTTGCTGAATTTAGATTCAATAGTTATGATAGCCGACTTTCTAGGGTTAATACGAGTACATAAGCTATGTTTATTATACCAAACACATATACTATTTAAATCCTCGGCCAGCATCTCACTCGCTTCGGTGTACAATATTCAGAACATCAGATTTAGCGATGAAAACCATGATAAGACCATTGATTAAAGTATTCCACCTAAATATAGCCAACCTAATGTTATATTCCCGCGTTACGAAGATAGGAGGTTGAGCTGCATAAGGGTTACACGTCAAGTGAGGCGAATCTATTTGACAGGCATATCGCGAGGCAGTATCACGGAGGAGAGCTCTGAAGAGCAAAGCCCATTGGCGTGGCTGTAGAAGAGAGCTAGATCGCCGACGGCCCGTTAGAGAAGAGTCGTCGATCAGTCGGACAGCTCTTCTCTGAACAGCATCGAGCATGGATAGTTTAGTTAAAACGGAAGCACCCCAAATATGTGAGCAATGGGTACCAACAGAATTAATGGTCGACATCTTTGACTTCACCTCCACTCCTTCAGTTTCACCTCCTATCTCTGGTCTTCATGTCCCGCGTCCATAAATTATCCGAGATAAAATGAGTACCTGCAGCTTCGTCTATGAGAATCTGGTAAAGCTGTTTCTCTATTTACTATGTACACTTTGAAAAGGTAATTGTCTCATAGATGGCGCTATAACCAATTATATGAGTGCGAATATGAGTTTATAGGCAGCGCCATCGATGAGACACTAACCTTTTCAAAGTATTAGTAGTAAAGAGAGAAACGAAAATAATAATAATAAGTTTATTCTCATATTGTACGAACATAACTAAAACTAACATACTTATACGTAAATAAACTGCATAAGTATCAGGTAGAATACGTTAACCAATGATAAAACATTAAGTTACATCTCTCAGCATAACCACGGTCCACGATCTCAAATCACGCGCCCTTATCACTCACGCGCATCTTTGCCAGATCTATAACTGGGTCCAGATATTGCGACGTTGTCATATAGAATGGTTTGACTGTAGAAAAGTGGTGACAGTTTGTATATAGTGATGCTCAAAATTATGTATTTACGTAACAATTCACGAATAATACTATACTTAAACGTACGGAGACTTGCAAAAAAAAAGCACATAAAAGATTTCCTGTACACAGAAAAGATGCGGTGGCTTATAAACTAAGTATACAAAAGTGGATAGTGACATTCGTGTTGATGTCTACAAGTACATTTTTAAAAATTATAAGAAGCCTGACTGCAGTAACTGAGAAAATGAATCCTTGACTGTACTATTGAGACGAATCTAAGGGCACCTCAAATGTCAAAATTCATCAAGCCGTTTGGACTGTAGCCCGTACAATAGAAATTTGAAAATTGAATTTTTTAATCCGCCATTTTGATTTTATGGAATTTTTGAATACCCATTGTGACTTGCTCTGTCAAGACAAATCTTGAGGTATCTCATATATCAAAGTCCATCAAGTCGCTCAAGCTGTAGCCCGTTGAATAAGAATTTCAAGCTTGATTTTTTTATTAAAATCCGTCATTCCATTTTTATAAAATTTTAGCCAGCGCCACTAGCACTGCTAAGTCGAATCCAACAACACTTCATATGTCAAAATTCATCAGGCCGTTTGGGATCTACTCCGTGAAATAGAATATATTGGTTACATATATACATACAGATCCACACGTCAAAAGGATAAGGAATTCAAAGAGCCGTTAAAATATCGCATTTCTGGTTCTAAACCCTTCAGAACATGTATTGATCTCGTAATATGGAATGAAGTGAGGTTTTGCTGTGACTATTTCCCTCGTCTTAATTTCTACCAATCACAAACGCGCAATTTTGAATTACAAATGGTTTTTAGATGGGAAAATTGTATGACACCACCTGTCAGTTGTTTTTTACAATACGTTTGATAACAAGTAATTATGGTCTCCTAGGAGATCAGATACAGAATAATCCGTTACTCATGAAATAATCTCTGTTGACAGGCAACAAAATGTCACTTCTTATGAAATTACCTTTTTCACCGGGAAAAAAGTAAGTACTTTTTTCCCGGAAATTGTATAATCGATTTAGCTGGCAATAATTTTTATAACGCTACTTTGGCTACTTCTACTAATTCCGGTAGAGTCAAAGAAAACTCGAAATCAGACATTTTTTACTTTATATTATTAAAAATAACTTCTAAACAACCACTAAGCTCACAATTTTCAAATCAAGTCACAAAATTAAATTGACAGCTATTTGATTACTTTAAAAGTTTCCTTAGCAACGCAGGTCTTATTGTCGCTATAAGTACAACATAGCCTACTAAGTTTAAAATTCAAATTTCACACCGATAATTTTCTGACTTAAATATTGTAATAATATAATTTTTCAATATTAAATCGTCGTTTTCTCCGTCACAGGAAAATATTGTGTATTATACATGGGAAAAATATTAGATTTTAGTACCTTTTGCCTCTGTATAATAAATAACTATTTAACAAAACACGTTCGTGCAGGTGAAAACATCCTCGTCTTCGAGTCAGATTTTTGTTGCCACCAGCACTCATGCTTGTTGTTAAAATATTACTTGGCAACGTGTTTTTCGATTTTTTCGGAAAAATTAGATGCCCTTATGATATTCCTTACGAGTCTTACCTTCTCGCTCATCTTCAGAGTTGGAAGACATAGGAATGTCGTGAGCAAAATCGTGACAACACTGTAAAAACTCCCCCGACTTTCAACTCTGTACTCCCAGTCATGCTCAAAGCAACAACTTCCTTGAAAATGTCAACGTATCATACAGTCTGTTCAATGAAATCTGGAAAAAAATGCCGAATTATAAAAGAACAAACTATTTGGTAAGTGAAAATATACACAGAATAGCACGAAATTGTAAGACTGTTACTAATCCTTGAACATTTTCATTATTTTTGCAATTAACAATAGCTGGCTGTGGGTAGAACAAAGTGACAGTACATTATCAAAAATACTGGACGTATATTCATACTTTAGCTAATAGATTATTTTATTGTACCGACTGTAGGGTGTAGCGAGGGACACATTATTCAAAGATAGTGCCATTATTAGATAGTACTTTTGCGTGGCAGATTCTTAAAGAGCCAGTTAAGAAGAAACTGCTGCAGTACAGTATTACATTTATGGCATTTTAAGATTTATAGCTATCAGATTAAGTAGATCTGGTTAAAACATGTATCTCACTTGACCCAGCTGCAAAGGAAATTGCCAGACAAAACGCTAGAACAGGACTAGGTTCCGATTTGGCACTTGTAAGTGCCTTAATTAGTTACCTGTTGACTGTATGAAAAGTCGATTATTATTCAAAGATAATCAGCTGAAAGAACATTCCAACCAAATCTTGAAAAATATACTAACTAACAGAATTAAGAACATGTTATAATAATGGATATAATTTACATTATTTCTGGGTGTTGCTTTTTCTGTCACTTGGTATATGTTGGGTGACACGTCTGGCTGTTCATTCATTAGAAAATTCCTCAGCAGTCCTAGCGACAAATTTTTTATCTATATCCAGTGCTCGCCATTGATTTGTTACTGGCACTTCGCCTGAACACTGCGGGCTAAGGAAGCATCCTTAGCTCACTTGATACATGAATTCACTTCATGAGAGCACCGTTTTTCTACTGCTAATGTAAGGCAATATCTGCTGGGTCGTGTCATTAATTTCTTCATTAACTTGTGCTGGCTAATGATCCATCTCTGAAAAACTCAAGACACCCAAGAAGTCTTTATTGTGTAAGAATGAACCACTTTGTGAGAAAAATACCTATATAAAATCGGTACGATATGCTTGAATAAATTTTTTTCACTCACAGAACATACAAACAGCTCAAGCACCATCTGCTGAAAATGTTTCATGACAGAGAAATTAACAATTGAAATAGCATCGCAGTAACAGGTGGTGGAAGTGCTTCAAGCTCTTGATTAGGAGAATAATGGGTAGCGCGTCCTCGAAGTTCAAGAAGTACCTTCAGCATGGTGACGAATTTGCGGCCATGCAAATATATCAAAGCTCTCCAGAATTGAGGAAAAATTTAGACCCGAACTTAAGTTATGGAGACAGCCATCAGCACAATACTGCCCTTCACTATGCTGCTAAGCACGGTAAGCATAATGTTGTCAGGAACAAGGTAATATTCAAGACAATAATTCATTATTTAAATACGTTATACGGGCACATCATCCACACCAAGACACCACACATCCATGTTTCAGCGCCTCTTACTCATATAACGCCGCTAAATATTATCAGGCAAATCATCATAAATTTAAGTCACTACTATACCCCATTCGTAGTCCATTTACGCCCAGACAAAACACAACATGCCCAAAAGCGAGATTGTACTGGTCCGTATTTTCCTCGATCGTCTTTGATTAATCTAACAAAATAGGTACATGATAATTTTTATACAAAGGAGTGCACATACTTTTCACAATTCTTTATTTGCTAGAAGTACTTGAATCATCGTCCGAATAGCTAATATCAATTATTACAGGTTTAGTTTGAATATCGATCTAATTGTCCAGATCCCACATCTTTGTTTCGATTGTCTCTTGAACGTGACAATGCAATCTTTCCACTGGTTTGCCATCACTCTGATGACAGAATTTCTACCTTTCTTGTGGACATTGTGGAAATTTTTTCTAGTTTACTAGAGTGGTATGAAGCATTAACAAGTACAAAGACGGCATTGTCGTCAAGCTTAGGCAGCGTTTCTTCATACCATATTTCAAACGAACTCTCGTCAATTTATTCATGGAAATAATTATTTCATATAGTATTTAAGAAAACTAAATAATAATACAAGCAGAGTATCTGACAGGTGTTGGTTCCAAATCTACCAGATATAGCTAGCTGATCTTAGTGTAGCTATTGTTTTCAGCATGGGCTCATAGATTCAGTCTACCATTTTTACAACACGAATGACGAATTGGTTGGATACACATACCTGACGGATTCTTTAGGTCAGCCCATCTAGGAAGACTTGTCTTGCTGATTTAATTGTAGAGTCAGCCCATACTTTATGTTTTGTATGCGCCGCATTTTTCCAGGTTTCATCCAACTAATGAATCTTCCTGCCCTGGTCGCGATATATCTTGGTTTTAAATAATTTCTTATCCATAAAACAATCTCTTGACTGTCCATCAAAATACTATTTCTGCCCAGTTTTCTATACTCAATAGTTCTTTGGGTAAACTATAGAATGTTGTCCTTTTGAAAGTAGGTAAGTCTTCATCACTATTAACCTTCTGTAATACTTTGCCTAAGGTGGGAAGTTCCTGCCTTTCAAAAAATTGATGGACTTTGCATCTGTTGGCATTCAGATCAAAGTCATCAACTGAATCCAACAGCTGTTTTGTTCGCCACACGTCTTTCAATATCCATAAATACAGGGTGGCGCATCGAAAACGAAACAGACGCATTTACTAGCAGGTCAGTTTTTTTTAAAAAAACGCTCAGACCCGTCGATTTTGTTTTCGAGGGCGACACAAGTTTGACAAAAAATCACGTTAATACGCGCAGCCCCCTAGGCGGGGGTGACACCAACCCTAAAATCTTAAATGAAAAAGGGGGGTCGAGTGATGCCTTATTAGGTCTTTCAATTCCCTTTATAATGATGTAAAATGCATGAGCTGCAGGTCAGTAGTTTTGAAGATTTATTGATTTCAAGCTTAAAGTAGACTTTAATAGGTACATTCAGAAGAAATTTGACTAAAAGAATTTACTTAATCAGTAAATGCTTTTCTTCACTACGCTCATGGTTTGTTTATCATTTTGTTGCTGAAAATAGCTATTGGAGCGTTTTTTTTGTGGCAAAAAAGTTATTTCTTGAAGAAAGATAAGGAAATATCTCGTACTTGTTTTAAATAGGAATCTAGTACATATAGTAGTTTGCGGCTGATTTGACCAAACTTTGTTGCTAAAATAACTTGTAACGCTTTATTACATAAATTAACCATGGTATATTCCACAGCAGAAAGAGTGGAAATTATCGAAATATTTTTCGGAAATAATCAGTGCGCTAATAGAACAGGAGAAATATATATGACCGACATGAGAACAGTAACGCGCATCGAAAATATGTTCTAGAACTTGTAGCTAAATTTTGGGAAACTGGGTCGGTGGCCAATAAAAGACACAACATTGAAAATCCCATAAGGAACGAAGCAATAGAAGTGGGGGTTTTAGGGCAAGTTTATGTAGATTCTACGTTAAGTACCCGCAAATTGGAGACTGTGTGTGGTGTTAGTCGACGTACTGTCCAACGGATTCTAAAGGCCCATAGTTTTCATCCGCATAAAATTCACCTGGTACAACAACTTAATGAAGACGATTTTGATCGGCGATTACAATTTTGTGAAGATATGAGTGAACGAATTATAAACCATGAACATTTTCTATTCAACACTTGCTTTTCCGACGAATGTTCCTTTTTCTTAAATGGCATAGTAAATCGTCATAACTGCCGATATTGGTCCGATTCTAATCCCAGAATTTATCATGAGGTTCATACACGGCAGCCACAAAAATTAAATGTTTGGGCTGGTATTTTTAGAGATCATTTAGTTGGTCCTTTTTTCTTACCTAGAGATTTGACCGGTGAAATGTATTTGGAATTACTGGAAGACACCATAGATGCATTACCTGCATTAACAGCCATAATTCATAATGATCAGCGGTACATTGCGAATAGCTTGATGTTCCAACAGGATAGTGCCCCACCACATTACGCATTACGTGTCCGACAATATTTAGATCAGACGTTTCTAGATCGATGGATTGGTAGAAGAGGTGCCATTGAATAGCCCCCAAGATTCCCAAAAAAAAAATGAGCTGCCAGTAAATGCGTCTGTTTCATTTTCGATGCGCCACCCTGTATAATTTCAGAATACTCTAAAATTTCGCTTTTCTAAACGTTAAGGACAATTTCTTTTGCCTAAATATTCGAATCTCCCTTCTTGTCAAGTTTTCGAGGAGGAGATATCACACGTAAATGAACTACGAATAGGGTATAAAACAATATAGTTTCAACACAGTCTAACACAAATTTTGGTAGCACTAAGTCTTTGTTGATTACATTTTATGTACGAAATTTTAGAAGCATTTAATACCTTAAATATTCTATTACATATACAGTAACAGACATGTTCATAGTTTATACTATTATTACATATACTTAATCTTTTTTTATATGTTATTTTAAAATATTGGTTTAATAGATTGGCCGGTAGCTAGACTCCACCATTTGCATCACACTTTTAATGCTATTTTGTAAGGTTAATATTACTGTTACTAGTATTCGGAGAACTTGAGAAATTTGTGGACCGTAGGAAAAAACAGTATCATTAGATGTATTGGTTCCGCTTGTACTATTAGTGGTGATGCTAGCCTCGCTGATGGTGCATCAGTGGCCCAGGAACTCCAAACAATGCTTTCCAAGCAAAATCATTACAAAACGGCACTTATCAAACAATTTCTCGCTAAACATAAGTCACCCTGAATCATGGAAACGGGAAATTACTGAACCCATCTTTATGAACTTTTTGTACCTTCTAATACAGTGTGTTTCGAAATCGACCCTCAACATTGGAATCTCAGAAACTGTAAGAGATACGAAGACGCTTAAATAAGAGCAAATTTGTATTTTAAGATAATTAACCAAATGTCGCTTAGAAAATTTATAAATTCAAAGTACTTCCTGGGAGAGATGGAAAAAACCGAATATTCCAGTAAAAGTTTTAATTGTTTCCTGATTTTATTTGCATTGGGATTCCAAAATAAACTGCACATTTACTTTGTCACTTCATAGCCTCTACAAGATGGCATAATTCGAATTATAATATGATTTGTCCCACAGCATCAACTTCATTTTTTCTCATGGACGCCATATTGGATTTTTGCACACATCAATAGAGTTCTTAATTCTGATACAAAATATGTATAATACGTCGTACATCGACATTGCCAAACTTTAGTTATTTAAAAAACCGAATTTCCTAGGTAGGCCGTGAAATTTTCAGAGTAATTCGTTTTGCATACCAGATTTATCCCAAAATCACTTTCATTTTATCCTGACTTTATTTGAGAATGAGGAGATGGATAAATTGAATGATGTCATTTTTGCTTATTCTCCTCTGCAAGATGGTGTAGTCAAATCTTCAATTCGATATTTCGTCTTTAGGCTTAGATCACCAACTTTGTTTTATCATATAGTCGCTTTATTGGAATTTTGTACATCTGATTGGGCTTTTCAGTGATGCATTTCTTTAGTTGGCCATAAATCAGTTGTTGGATGAAAATTATGAGGAAATAAAGACGTGGTGAAACCTGAACACAAAATCAAAATTTTATTGATGTTAACAGCCAAAATAATCATAAATAAGCAGAGGTCATCATCAATCATAGCAGATGTTCAAAATGTCGTCCGTTATTTTGTAGGCAAAGTCTGACTCTTCTCTGTACATTGTTCACAGCTCAATTTATTTCTCTTCTTCTCAGTTGTCCAAACTCTGTTGTTGTGTTCAATGTAAGGTCTAGTCTGGTATGCGAAACAAATGAGATCTGATAATTTGAAGGCCTACCTAGAAACTTCTCTTTTTCCGGAATAGCTGAAGCTTAGCAATGTGGACATGTTACACAATTTTGAAATCAAAACACTCTTTTCATCTGCGATATGGCGTCCATAAGAAAAAATAAAGTAAATGCTGGAGGGCAAGACACGAAACGACATAATGAAATTCTAATTATGCCATGCTAGTACAGGAGAAAAAATGGCAATATTAACATGCATTTAATTTTGAAACCTCATCTCAAATAAAGTCAGGAAAAAATAAAAGTGATTTTGGGATAGGTCTGGTATGTGAAACAAATAATTGATAATTTCAAGGCCTACCTAGGAAATTCTGCTGTGCTTACAAAAACAGGTTTGGCAATGTCAATTTATGTATTATACATTTTTGGAATCAAAATTTGAAACTCTAGTCATCTGTGCAAAAATTCAATATGGCGTGACAAGAGATGATGCGTCATATTGAAATTCTGATTATTCCATCTTATAGGGGAGAAAAAGTGGCAATGTCAGTGTGTAATTTATTTTGAAATACCATTACAAATAAAGCCAGGAGAACATAAAAAGGTGTTCGGAAAATTCGTTTTTACCGACTCTCTCCTGAAGCACTTTGGATTACGAAACTTTCTAAGCAGCATTTTGTTGGTTACCTGAATACGCAACTTTGCTCCCATTTAAGTGACTTCGTATCTCCTACAGTTTCCGATATCCCAATGGTGAGCGTCAAATTTGAAACACCCTTATAAATCGATTAAATATCCCAAAGTGGTTTAAATCCTTGGATATAATCTTCGCCAGTCAAGCTATACTAAGTGACATATAAATCCGAACACCCAGTTCAAATGGTTTTATTTTAATAAAATCTTGTATAAGTACTTAATGAAGCATAATAAGTAAATGATAAAAATTTCAAAATGATTGCACTGCTATAAAGCCCTTTGACCTTTAATTATGTGTGGATGCACCCTGATGTGCTACGCATTCTCCAACGCGCCTAGGCATACTTCTGATCAGGTGGTCAATGTCCTCCTGTGGTATCTCATTCCAGGCAACCACCAACTCCTCTCGAAGTGCTTCTAGAGTCTGAGGAGGACGTTGCAAATTGAGCAATCTCCTATCCCTCATATCCCACACGTGCTCAATTGGGGATAAGTCGGGAGATCTTGGTGGCCATGGTAACAATGTGACATCATTATGTTGAAAGAAGTCTATTGTGACTCTTGCAACATGTAGTCGGGCATTATCTTGTTGGAAAGTTGGATCTGCCAGGGTGTCAAGATAGGGTAAAAGATGGGGTTCTAGAACTTCGTGGATATAACGCTGCGCGTTCATGTCACCTCTGATGAAGATTAAAGGTGACCTGGAACCATGAGCTATAGCACCCCAAACCATAACTCCAACAGTGTGATGAACATGTCTTTCAACAAAAACTGTGGATTCCTCCTTTCACCACGTCGCCTTCTAACCCTGGTACGACCATCGTGCATGCCTAAACAAAATCGAGACTCGTCACTAAAGACAATACTGTTCCATTCCTGATCCCAGAGTGACCGTTGTCTGCACCACTCAAGGCGATTACGTCGGTGTTCTCGAGTTAAAGGGAGGACCCAGTGTGGCCGGTATGAAAACAAGCCAAAACTTCTCATTCGTCAGTAAACACTTCGCATGCCAATAGGTCTTCCGTGTTCTGCAAACCATTCATTTGCAATGAACCTGGTAGTGGAGAAACGGTCCCTTAAGGCCAATAATCTTAGGCGGCGATCTTCACGGTCTGTTGTTCTACGGCGGCGTCTAGTGCCCCTTGCTCTTTGCGTACGGCCTTCTCGAAGCCATGCCTGACAACACCTAACCACAGTGTCTACACTTCTTTGCACTCTAACTGCAATTGCCCGAAAAGAAAGTCCAGCTTCCCGAAGTCCCACTATACGGCCCCTATCAAACTCACAAAGTTGACGAAATCGTACAGGTCTCCGTACTCTAGGGATCGTAACCGATCGTAAAGGATGTCAAGAACAAAATCCGCCAACGTTGATTCTTAACTGCGGCTGAAATATTCGTTTTTAGAGCATTAGTGAATTAAAAAAAAGCAGTATAAAAACCGGAATGTCCAACTGATAAGGATGAAAATTTTTTCACTTGTTATTTACAGTAAGATAAATACATTCACCAACTTTTATTAAAATAAAACCATTTAAACTGGGTGTTCGGATTTATATGTCACTTAGTATACAATGTCACCCATTAATATTAACATCATCAGATAGATGTACTGTTTTTACTTGTCCACTGCGAAATAAGACACACTAATGTATCCTAGACTGAAGCAGCGATTTATACATATGTGGTTGGTTAGAGAATAGAGAAGGCAGTCGAAATTTGCTTCATACTTGTAGCTCGTAAAGTAATGTCGGAAAAGACATTCAAAATATTGAGACGCTGAATTTGCGCACAAGTGTATAAATTCTCTGATTGTGACGTCAACTGTTTTTACATGAAATTGTTTCAGGCATGAAGCATCTCTTGCGAACTTTTCTAACAGACCTCGGGGGTGATCCAAACAAGAAAAATGCAGCCAACGAAACAGCTCTACACGCAGCCTGTAAGCTGGATGATGAAAGATCTAGAAGAGGATATGGAGCTCAAGACAGAAGAGCAGCTTGTGCTCATCTGCTCTTGGCTTGGAAAGGACCTGCTATTGATCTTACGACTGGCAGGAGGGAAAGAGTTGATGTGGGAGCTCAGGATAAAGTAAGAACTAGCGACCTAATATCCTTACCCAAACACAAATTTGCATTTTTCGTAGATCATTCACTTACAAGACGATACCGGGTGTTTCAAGTTCAATTCGCACCATCAATAAGAAGAACGAAGTTGCTCAAATGGAGGCAAAGTTGCGCATTTAAGTAGTATAAAAATATTCCTTAGAAAGTTTCGCAATTCCAAGGATTTCCGGAGACAGACGAAAGAAACCGAGTTTTCTCAAAATCGTTTTTATTTTTCACTGCCGTTATTTGAGATGGGATTTAAAAATAATACATTAACATTGTCTTTCTTCTCTTGTCCTCATGGTTAAAACACATAGGCATTTAGGCATTACTCCGATCCAGGCGCTACAGCGGCCGCAGGGGGGCTCCTCCCTTGATGATTGTTAGGATGTTTTAGCTTAGAGCGCAATATTTTCACATTTCAAAAAGGTTTTTTGTAATGATATACAGGGTGTAAAAGTTATGATAGTCATTATTTAAATGGGTGATAGAGGGGGTTAAAAGAAGCAAAAAGTTTCATATAACATTAAATCTGGAAGTAAAGACAATATGTTCAATTATAGACCTATTTCAGTTAACAATGTATTTGGGAAGGTTTTTGAGAAATGTTTGAATAACAGACTTTGTTCTTTTCTTGAGAAATATGACATAATATCGAACTGTCAATTTGGGTTCCGCAAAAATTGTAATACAGAGCAATCTCTACAAGAACTTACAGGACAAGTGCTTGAAAATTTTCAAGATGGAAATAAGACTGTTTCAGTTTTCCTAGATCTTCAAAAGGCTTTCGATTCAGTATCTCACACAATTTTATTAAAGAAACTAGAAAGTGTTGGAGTGCGTAGCGGAGTTCTGAACTTATTTGAGAACTATTTGGCTGATCGATTACAACAAGTTAAGGTAGGGTCAGATTTAAGCAACATTCAAAAGATCAAAATAGGTGTGCCTCAGGGGACGGTTTTGGGACCAACACTGTTCCTCATATACATAAATGAACTACTTCGATGTAATTTCAACTGTAAAATGATATCATATGCAGACGATACTGTTTTAGTTTGCACTGGTCATTCATGGGATGATGCAATACGGAATGCCGAGTTGTCATTAAATAAAGTCAAATACTGGTTGGATAACAATTTACTTAAACTTAATATCTCTAAAACTAAGTATGTAACGTTTTCTCCAACCAAAGCAGGCATGCCATTATACCACCGAACATTAATTATAAATGATAGTGCTGACACTGTCGAAAGAGTTGAAGTTATTAGATACTTAGGAATCACTATTGACAGTAATTTAAAATGGCAGAGTCATGCCGAGCTTTTGGCATCGAAATTAAGGAGAATTATTCATAAGTTTTTCATTCTTAGGAATATTTTAAGCAGAAAGAGTCTTCTCTCAATATATAACTCGTTTGTGGGGTCTTTACTAACTTACGGGATAAGTATTTGGGGAGCCGCATACTCTAGTACTTTAAAAATACTACAAACCACGCAAAATTATATTGTCAGGACTATTTTTCGTATCCCATGTAGGTCAAGTTGCAGATTTGCTTACATTGAAAATGATCTTTTGAATGTTAGAGGTTTATATATTTTTGCTGCTGTAAAATTTTTTCACTCCCGAAACAATGTTCCAACCAGCCACCCTTATGAAACAAGAACTGAAATAAATATAAGTAACACCTATACCAGAGTGAATAAATCTGTTTGCCAAAAATGCATAAAGTTTGATGGTATTAGGTTGTATAATAAATTACCCCTAGAATATAAAATCCTCTCGAAGTATAGTTTCAAAAAAGAATTAAGAAGCTCATCTTAAATAACTTTGACATGCTTGCATCGACTGTAGCTTGACTCAACTTAGTAATTTCGTTTCTATCTAATGTTTTTTTATTTCTTTTTTTATATTCATTTGCTCATAATATACCTTATGATCATTAGCCATGCATTGAATTTATCTTGTATGACACACACAAGCTTATAGCTTAGGTGACTATTCTTTTGTAGTAAATTATAGTACTCTTGTTTCTCTACTTAACCTTTACGCAAAATTTGTATTGTTTAAACAACATAGTTTGACCTTACTCGAAATATCCCTATATTATCATATTTCAGATATTCATATTTTATGTACTCTATATTTATACTTCTGAGTGTTTTTAGTATGCTTCTGTACTATTGTTATGAATTTTAGATTTGTTTATGCAGAGACGAAATTTAGTATTTGTGACGACAAGATTCAGACATTTACCCTTTACGAAAGTATACAGAATTTTCACAATTCATATACCGTTACTTGCTGGTTCTAGATCTGATGCTAGTATCTTTGCTCAGATTTCTATTGCAATCTTGGTTATTCAGGGTAGCAAGAGTATAGAAGCTCATGTATTTTTGAAGCTTTTTTTATTTAAATTGTACTGAAGCTTGTTTTTAATTTGTAAGTTATATTGGTTTTTGAATTTGAATTTGAATTTGAATTTGAATAAACTTAGTTTGAATAAAAAAAAAACATGGGGGTCAAAGCGGCATTTTTTTATAGAAAAGCGACTTTAAAGTAAAATAAAATCTGACAACGCCACAATGCCAGACGCAAATTACGACGGAACGCAGTGCAAATAAAGTTTGTTATTTTTGGCTCTTAGGTATTATTTCATTATTTGATAATGTACTCGTAAAATGCAAACAATTAAAAAAACGGACTTACCACTAACTGTCTCAGCGCTCACCTGGTGTGTGAAAGTTTATTGAACATATTAAAAAAATCCACTTATAAATAGGGAACACAATTTTGATACATACTTTGTTTTCTTTTTAAAACCAACACTGCACTTTTTTGTATTAAAAAAAGGTGTTCAAAATATCGTCCTCCATTTTCCATACAAGCTTCATTACGACCTTCACGAATGGTATGAGGATTTTCTTGGGCCCACGTGTGAGTATTATGGAAATTTAATATCGCGTCTCTCGTAAAAGTACATTCGTCCGTCGTTAGAATATTTTTAAAAAGTCCGGATTTTCAATGTTTTGGTGCAAAAACCACTGACAGAATGTTAGTCTGCGAGGATAGTCTTCTGGTAACAAGGCCTGCACTCGTTATACATGGTAGGGATAAAGCAAATTTTCCCGTAGGATTCTATTGACTATGGTATGCGATAATCCTACGCGGTGGCCTAATTCCCGAGTTCTGATATCTGCATTGATTTCCACGATATTTAAAATTTGTTCGTCCTGCTCTACAGTTGCCTGTCTTTCACGAGTGCGAATAATAGTGGGCTAAACACTTCCAGTATCTCGAAGTCTTTGGTACACTTGCACAAATGTCCTTCTGTCTGGGTGTACCCGTTGGCGAAATCTGTCGCAATACATTTGAGCTGCAAGATTTGAATTCTGACGAGCTTCACCGTAAACTAACAACATGTCGGCGAACTCTTGATTCGAGAACATTGTAAATCAAAACGACGACGTACGTGAACAAAAACAAAACAACTAAAACTAACCACTGTTACCGTTTGCGATCGATTGCTGGTTTGATAAGAGTGATGATGTCCTGTGCGTTTTAAATATTCAATTTAATGAAACATACTTACTGACTACAAATTTATTTTGGCTTAACTTAGAAAAACTTTATTTGTTAATTACCCAATTTAAAAACGTTTTAGATTAGATTATAAAAATTAGTATGATTGTGGTCGTTATAACGCACTTAAAGTTGTAAACTATAAACCCACTTAGACAACAATCTATTGACTTTTGGACCATGGGTCATATGAACTTTTTGACTTGTTTTGACCCCCCCTATTACCCATTTCTATAATGACTACCATAACGTTTAAGTATATCCCATGAAATAGCAGTAGCAGCATGATTAAATCTATCTAAGATATCATCAGATTACTGAAAAAACAAGAAAGCTCCACTGTTAGCCTTAAATAGTTGTAGTTGTAGTTATAGTAGTACTTTTTTTGTTAAAATCTGCAGCAGCTTGTCTTCTTTGAGATTATAGATTTTGCGGCCCATCTAGCTTTTGGCCCAGCAACGACTTTGAGCTTGACATAGCTGTTGTAAAGTATAACTGCTGAAGGAAGCAGGTCATCATGATGCATTGAAGATGATATCACATCGCGCTTTATACGTATATAGGTAGTTGCACTCCCAATTTACAGGGTATATTAGATTTTTACACAGGCGATTAGCGTTTTTAATTCTGATCCCAAAAAGGTATGTTATACATACACATAGACAAGCCGTAGTTAAAGAAAAACAGTATTTCGTAAGTAGGCCTCAAAATTATCAGTCAATTATTTCATTACATCGTCAGTCAAATATTTCTTCAGTTTTTACTTCCGATTTTAATGATATGACATGGTACATACAGGTATATTATGACATCTATTGGTATTATAAAACTTCAAATATCGAAAATACTAATCTTCCTATAGTTGGTGTTAACTGATCGAATAAAAAAACAACCCAAAGCTTAAACTGTGTCATATTATTTAATTTATTAATAATTATTTCGTATTTGAAACATTGTATCCTCAATGTTGTATTATGTTATACTATTTTATGTAACTGATAGAAAAATGTTCAAGTCAGTAAAAGCCTCGAACATGTTGCACCTGTCTTAACACATTTCATGTTTCTCAGATATAATGCTTGTTGTAGTCGGTAAATGGGCAAATTATCTGAATGTTATTTAAACACGCTTCTCATAAATTATAGCATTGGTGATTTAATGGTACAAACATGTGTCATTTTCAAAGTCAACTATGCTGGTTTTCTCCAAATAACTTGGGTTTGAGAATGTGCCCTGTGCAAGAATCCAATTTGGCGTATAAGAAAAAATAGCGTTGATGATTGAGTTGACGAAACGTTATATTGAAATTCTATGCCATCTTGTAGAGGAAAAAAATGGCAATGTTAATATACATGTTGCTTTGAAGTCCCATCTCAAATATAGTATGGAAAAAATAAAAACGATTCTGGAAAAATTCAGTGGCTTTCGCTTATCTTCGGAAATACTCAGAGTAGCGAAACTTTCTGTGCTATTTTCTTAGTTACCTTTTGCTCCCATTTAACCTAGTTCTTATCTCTTACCGTTTCCGAGATCCAAATGGTGAGAGTCGAATTTGGAACTTCTGATGTAAAAACTGCTCCATATACCTTCACTGCGCGTAGCTTGTTTTTACAAGAAATAAGACTAAGTTAATAAAAGTCCCATCATAGATGTAACAACTTTAAAAGTTGGTGAATGTTCCGCTAATTTGGTGCCTGTTTGAGTGTATCTTACATGCTCATACGATGATTGTGTTTTGCACTCCCACCTTTTTTCAAACTGATAACGCTACCTTTACACTCGTCTAAAACCTCGTTTTTTATCGCAGGAAGGCAATACTGCTCTCCACTGGGCAGCTCAAACAGGGCTGAAGAGATGTGTTGAGCTTCTACTAGCTCATGGGGCTCCACTATTCATCGAAATAATGACAAACTGACGCCATGCGATCTTGCAATGAGAGGTTCCCATCATGATATTGCTAGGTTGTTGGAAAGCAGAATGGTTTTCGTGAGTATTTTTTCCCTGTTTATAATGGAAACGATATGATGCTTTCGTCCATCCGAGTAACGATGCCAACAATGGACAGCTGTTTCGTGCTTCTTGGCTACTCATCAGCATAGTTCTAGGCTTGGCCTCTCGTCTCTGGGATAATAAATGAAAGCATCACAACTATCCTCTATCCAGGAGGTCTGATCTGTCGAAATGAGGCAGCGCAAAGCGCCATCTATCAGGTATGCGCTCTCTACAGTGGTCGATTCTGGTATGATAAGAAAGGCATTTCTATAACAGCGTTTTTAGGTTCTCTCAAGCTGATAATGATTCTGTCAAATCTTCAGCATATTCTCTAATGTCAAATGCTCCTGGCGTAGATCGAATAACCCTGTCTATGATTGAGCAGCTTTTACCAACACTAATTTGAAATATAACGCATATTATATATATGTGCATCGAAAATACCTACTTTCCAGAATCATTGAAGCTAGCAATAGTTAAGCATCTACCGAAAGTGTAAAATCCAAACAGCATATCTTATTTGCGACACGTTAGTTAGCTATGCGTGCCTTCAAATATATTAGAATAAAGTCGTATACCAACGAATTTTAGCAAATATAAATGAAAACAATATTATACCGAGTAATCAATCCGGTTTCCGTATGAATCACAGTACCACGACTGCACTTCTGAAGATAGTAGATGAAGTCATTAGAGCAAGAGAAGAATTCTAAGAATGATGTGCAAAACTATCGGGCAGAAAAAAACAGATGTTAATAATTATAGATCAATATCAATAATATCCAGTGTGGCAAAAGTTTTGAAAAAGTTTTATCTACTAGAATGATTCGATACCTCACGAAATTCAAAATTTTAAGTGAAAATGAATATGGATTTACAGAAGGGAAGGCTACATCGGACGCAATAGTTAAAATTGTAAATCAAATACATCAAAATATTGATAACAAAATCCCTTCTATATGCTTTTTTGTTGATTTAAAGAAAGCTTTCGACACAGTTAATCACAAATTATTATTAGAACCATTGGAAAGAATTGGTATCAGAGGAAACGCATACTCACTGATGGAAAATTATCTATCAAATCGCCCACAATCTGTTCAGACGTCAGGATCGTTTAGCAAAGAAATGTATATTAAGTCTGGTGTCCCACAAGGAACTGTCTTAGGTCCACTGTTATTCAATATATATTTAAATGATATTTTCCAAATTAATTGTTGGCAAAATAACCAGTTTTGCAGATGATACTGCAATATTATATGAAGGCACTGACTTGTCTGATCTAAAAAATATAAATGAAAATGATTTTATCAAAATTATTCGGTGGTTTAATAGTAGAAAATTAAGCATTAACTATTCTAAAACACATTTTTTACTAATTGGATCTTATGCTAGACATCTGCCAAATTGCACAAATTTCTCCTTCAACATTAATGATCAAAAAATACAAATTAATAGACTGCTGAACATAAAATACCTTCGAGTGGTCTTGGATCCTCACGCACGTTGGGACATCCATGTCAATTATATTTTAAAGAAAGTTAGATTTGTATCCTACAAAATTAAATACCTTGCGAATATATTGACAGAAAAATATTTTCGAACATACCATGCACTGATTGAGACTCATCTCACATATGGTATATGAGCATGGGGAGCTGCATGTTCCTCACATATCTATAATTTAGATGTTTTTCAAAGAAGTATTCTAAAAATGATGTTTAAAAAACCGAAACTTTATCCCACTGACAAATTATACGCAGATGCATGAATGTATGACATAAGAATTATTATTCTTTTATTTCTTACACAGTATCGCTCACTCCCATAAATTTGTCAACACTGACCAAAAAATTAAACATAATCATTACATAAGGTACAAAATTCGTGGCACAGTAGTTCCTCTGCCGCATAAATCTATAATGCAGTGGTCATATCTCTATTTATGTAGAGCCAAAATTTTATGAAATTATACTTAAAGATTTAAAAGATTTACATTTCGGAAATTGTTTCAAAAGGAATTTAAAGCAGTGGCTACATTCTATATCTAGGACTGAAATTCATAAGCTCATAAATGCGAATATCAAGTAAATAAATAATCTACTGTGGTAACTTTTTGTCCATTTGCATTCTAAAGTAGCAAATTAAAATTATTGTTCCATATACAGGCAATGCCTTCTATTGGGCCTGTTTTGATTTTATATTTATTTACTCAAGTTATTTGTTCTCTTTGTACATTGATTGAAAAAATATTATTATTATTAGTAGGTATCCAATCCGAAATTGCCAAGCTTTTAGATACCTGGTATCAAATGAACTGTCGTGGGACATTGTTCAAGTAATGACCAACAGTATGGTTTCACCGCAGGTAGATCAACTGCTAAAAATTTAATCATTTATGAAGAACTTCATAATAACTGTTTTTGAGAACAAGCTTCAAGTAGACTCTGTCTAGATGGATTATACGAAAGCTTTCGACAGAGTAAATCACGATCTGCTTTTGGCTAAATTAGAGAGTTTGGGAATATCAAGCAGCCAACTATCCTGATTTAGAAGCTACCTATCAGTACGAACACAGTATGTCAGATATGCCGGTTCATTATATAATCCCATCAGTGTCTTTTCAGGTGTACCCCAAGGCTTCCACATTGGTCCAGTTTTATTTAATTTATTTATTAACGATGTGGAAAAAGCTATATCAAATAGCAGTTATTTGATTTTTTGCAGATGATCTTAAATTATTCAGAACAGTGAGAAACATCCACGATGCGGAAATCCTACAAAGAGCTCTCATAAATCTTACTCGGTGACGTAGTACTAATAAGATCAACTTCAATTTGAATAAATGCTACCAGATAAGCTTCAAATTCTCTCACATATGAGTATAAAGTTGAAACCCGTGACCTCATTAGAACTGATTCAGTTAGGGATTTAGGATAACTTTTGATACAAAATTAACTTTTAAAACACACATTAGAGAAATTACTTCTAAATCATATAAAATATTGGGATACATTTTTAGATCTACCAAACAGCTCTGTAGTTTTTCGCATTCTATACCGCTCTTTGTAGTGGATTATTTTGGAGTACACAACAGCGATAGGTCGCCAAATTTACTTGGTGAAGCAGTGCAGGATAAATTTTTAAAACAGGCAGCTATTAAAATGGGTCGGGGTCATAATGCTTCAGAACTAATGAGTACGTTGAACATCGAATCCTTGAAACGCCGAAGGGAAAATTTTGATTTACCTTTTCTGATTAAATTAGTTAATGGTGTCATAGATTGCCCAGAAGTGCTTGCACAAATTTATCTTAATGTTAATGAAAGACGAACTGTTTACGATTCCACATCATTCTAGAATTCTTAGATCTGGCAACCCCGCTGTAAGCTACAACATAAGTGCTTTCAGCAACAGTATTAGGCACATCGAAAAACACATGAGAAATGTATCTATTGAAATTTGGTTTGTTAGGTTTTAAACACAAGTAGATTGGGTATCACATGAATCGTTGGTTCTTCTTCAGTTTAATAATTCATATAAAGTTATTGTAATCTGTCACATAAACGTAATGTTTTCGTATATGTTATGGGAAAGGGTAAATAAATAAATAAACCAATAAATAATTAGCATCGATTGTTGTTTCTCTTGATTACTCAAAAGGTTTCGACTGTATTGATTTTTTATTCACTAAATTAAAATAATGATATTGATAATAACTCTGCATCATTTTTTAAGTTGAACTTACAAAATCGCAAATAACAGGTCTAGTGATACGAAATATAGGATGTCGCTTTATTAAGAAAATATGGCCTGGAAAAGTTAAGGAGTTGAATTGGTTAAAAATTCCAGTTGCACTCCAACATGATATCATATTTGTACAACAGGTTTTTTTCATAGAAGTTTTACATATAAATAAATCACCAATTTCAACTCACTTCCTGTAGATATTAAACAATTACCGGCAGGGAAATTTCGGATGTCGCTTCAACAATATTTGTAGGATAGACACCTGTAAATGATTAGCATATCATAACAGGCTAACAAGTATGATGAATAAGTTTTTAGTATAAAGATAGGTTTGTTGATTTTATTTATCTGTTTATTAAGATCTTCACTTTGCTGTGTATTACATCTACCTAAGGTGATGTCAGTAGCTATAAGCTAAATCTCGTTTATAGATAATGGTAATAAACACCATGGTTATTATTATTATCTAATAGTTTTTGTCCTTAAATAATGGAAAATGTTAATAATGCAGGCTGACAATGCCGACATAGTAAACGAAGACGAAGTGATCCATGAACAAGAGGTCTACAGTGGTCTACGGAGCCAAGACTTGCAAGAAGCCAAGGACCAACTATTGGTGGACACCTCAGATATGTTGAAAATTCCACTTTTCACTGCCGAAGCTTTATTGAGGGACAATGGTGAGTAAAGCTACATTAAAACCAAGAGATTGTTCGTGAAATCACAATTTCAAGAGTAAACATATTGAGACGTGCATGCTCAATATTTTGCAGAGTGGTCTAGAGAACTTCTCCTGGAAAAATGGATGAGGGATCCAGTACAGTGTTGCCAAACTGCTGGAGTTCCTGCGCCACCATCTGCTCTGCTACAACACGCTGGATCATTTGAATCGACTGTATCAAGTATTACCAACAAAGTCGTGACTGAGGATAAGGAAGCTTTGGTAAGCAGTAAGTTCCAAATTGTATTGGTATAGAGGTTTGTTCCGTACTTCAATGGATATAGTGAAATGGTAGGTAGTATGGATCTCTACCTTCCCATTCCTGAAAATAAAAAAGTTCCGAATGAAGATTTACGGATTTATCTAAACGCGCCAAATCTTTAATCTAATACATCTCAGGCACTATTGAAGTAACTTAAAACTAGACAGACGGTTGGAGAATCCAGGACCCGACTC